GAAAGTCTAAAGTATAAATTTCAAGGAGATGAAAGTAAGTAGAAGCGAATTGGTGAGGAAGGAAGGGTTTAACCACTGTTTATTGAATAATTATAATTGTTGCTGACCTTCTTTTAGAAATAAAATAAAAGCAGAGGTCGAAACCTGTGACAGAGAAAAATACAGGATATATGCTTGAAAAGATTCCTTACCCAAAGATATATCCATTATACTATTCATTCTTTGCATCACGAGTGAAAAATAGGGCTTCCTGCTCAAGGATTCAAAGTTTCCCGGCTTGCAACCGGCTAGGTGAAGCCCAGCGTTACGTTGGCCATGAGTCAAATCCTGAACCACACATGGTCTATAAGAATTCTACCGACAAACTACCGATACACTTACCTAAAGATAGGCAATATATATCGTGCAGTAGATGTTATGACTTGAAAAGCTGCAAGTGTAAAGAACGACTGCCTCTCTGGTTTTAATACAAAAGACGTCTACAAGTGACACCGGTCCCTGAAACCTATCCAATCCCTTGGTGAAGATGGTGTGCCCGTCATTATCCTCAGAAAATCTGTTGACATTTTGCATTATCCTCTTACGGGTATTTTCAATGAATCGTTTTCCACTAATACTGTGCCTGGTTCTTGGAAGGACATTAAAATTGTCCCTATGCCTAAATCATCGAGTGGACCAAGTGTTTAATTTAAATCTATTGTCATTACTTCACCTTTTTTTAAAATAATAGAAAAATTGCTTTTGCCTGACCTTGAACCTTCATTGTAAGCTCTTAACGACCCTAATCAATTTGTTTATAAACATAGTAGGTGCACTTTAGACGCCACTGTCGTCTTATATCATAATATTGTCTCTAGTCTAGACAGGGGTGCCAAATGTGTTCGGTGTGCCTTCCTAGATTACATATCTACCTTTGATTCTGTACCTAGGCCTCTTTTGTTAAACAAGTTTGCTGTGACATAGGTAGGACGCTGGACTACTAAGTGGTTTCATTTCTATTTGTCTGATAGGAGGAAGTACAGTTTTTACAATGCTGCTTTCCACTGCTTTACATACTCTAGCTGGTGTTCCTCAAGGCGCTCTTCCTCCTTCTTTTCCGTTTTCTTTCCTCTTACATGGCTTGCCCCATTAAGATAAAGCCAATTTTGTTAAGTATGCCGATGATCTGACTGTTTCTATGCCGGTTGCTTCTCAGTCATATTGTTCCAAAATGAATTACCTTTTATCAGAAATTAGTCAGTGGTACTTGGCAGATGACCTCAAGCTTTTCATCATTAATATAGTTCCCTTGAGTTATAGGTGGAATATAGGGCTTCAACAACACATCTCCACTTTCTTCTTTTTTCTCCTCTCCTCTTCATCTAGCCCCACGAATGCCCATAATCTGTCATCTCCTCTTTGCGAGATCTCCATGTCACCCTCGCACTGACGACCCACTAGTTGCTTCCCATTGGGATTCCAATCGAGCAATGGTCTGTATTACACGCGATGTCATTCGACGGCCTCTTCAACATAAGTCAAATCCATCTCCATTTTCTCCTACATATTTGTTCAGCAATCAGCTCTTGGTTGGCCTGTTCCCAGCCAGAGTATCTTGTTGCTAATTCTTTCTGGCTGTCTGGCCATTTCACCTTCAGTATGGAGTCAGCGAAAGCAGCTGTTGATAAAATTCTGCAGTAGGTTGTTGGAAATCCTTTTCGTGACACGCAGTGCAAGTTTCAGACCCGTATAGGAGAACCGACTGATTGACTTCACATTTGTTTTGAAAATCCGAATCTTGTTGTTTATGCTGAGGAGGAGTTCAAAAGACTTCCACAGTGGTTTCAGGTTGATAAAGGCGTATCTTGCCTTTCCGATTCTGGCTAGCTTTTACATCTTCATCCGTTCCGACTGCCTGTGGTTGAAACGATGCTTCCTAGATAAGTGAAGGAAGTAACCTCTGTCAAATCTCTCCCGTTGATGGTGATCGGTGCTGGTTGTTGTTGCTGCTCTTGTCGGTGGTTGGTCATCTACATCACCTCCATCTTCTCTGTGTTCATCTGCAGTCCTGTCTTCTATACTTTTTCAGCTAGATTTTTGGTTCTATCTGCAAGTCTTTGAGTTTTTGTGACACTAAATATAAGTCATCCATGTGCGAAATCCAGATCTTCTAGAGTCTTCTTATCGGTGGTCCAGCCTATTCTTGTCTTATAACTCCTGATGCACAGTCTGACGCATAATCCAGTCCACCACGATTAAAAATATCATCAGTGATAATAGACAACCTTGTCCTACTCCTGTATGCACTTCAAAAGCCTCGCTGGTTTTTCGGTTGTGGATCACCTGACACGTGACACTGTCATACAGACAGCTGTTGAATGAGGTTGATAAAGACTTGGGCACTGCACGCCGTACTGTTGAAACAGCTTCCAAATTACTTCTCGGTCAACGCTGTCTGTCGAAGACCCTTTCGAAGTCGATGAATTTGAGGCAGAGAGAGGTTTGACTGCCATTCTACGCTTTGTTCAATAATGATGCGTAGAGTTGCAATTTGATCAGCCTTTCCTGAATCCAGCTTGTTCCGGGAGTAGGCGGAGTTTTGTATCCAGTGAATCCTTTATTCTCTCCAAGATGACGCGACTTAGTATTTTACTTGGCGTGGACGAGAAAATGATTCCACGCTAGTTCTTGCGGAGTGAGGCTTAGGTCGCCCTTCTTTGGCAGCTTGACGAGGTAGCCTTTCTTTTAATCGACAGGCACCTTTCCTTCTTTCAAAACCTTTGCAGTAAAGGCGTGAGCACATCTGTGGCAGTCTCTGGGTCCGTTTTCAGTGTTTTGGGGTGCGGGAAATCCGTGTGGTCCTGCTGCCTTTCCGGACTTCAGTAGCTTGATCGCATTCAGGATTTCTGCTCTCATAGGAGGATTGCTGTCCACTGGCAGGCAGTTCTGTGCGTGCTGTTAGTGGTAGTGTATTTCTGGACGACTTGCAGGTGGTGGTCAATTCAAGAGTCCTTTGAAGTGATCAGCTAATTGTTTAATTTGTTTCCTCTCCTTCGTAATTAAGTTCCCTTGAACATCTTTTATAGGTTTCACCTGCATTGATCTCTTCCCAGATAGAGACCTGGTTTTTGGTACGACGTTTTGAGGCCTCTTTTGCCTGCGACCTGTTCCGCTTCGTAGAATTGTCGTTTGTCTTTTCTAGCACTTTTATTCACTTCGTTATTCAGTGCAGTGTACATTGAACTCAGCTTCTTCTGTTGTCCACCTTTGCATCGAATCATCTCCTTTCTACCATCCTACTCTCCTCAATCAGCTTCCAGGTATCCGTTGACAGCAATTCCTTATCTTGTCGCTTCCTTCTTCCTAGGAGAGTTGCACACGTTTCCTTAAATATCGCTTTCAGAGAGTTCCAATGTTCTTCCACGCAGATTTCCTCAGTGATGCCACGTAGTGTGTCCAACTTTGCTCTGATATCTGTAGCGAAGGCATCCCTTGTAGTTTTTCCTTCAGTTTCTGAATATTGAACTTGAATTGAAGTCTGTCTCCAGTTGTTTTCATGGATTTCAGCTTCACATTGAAGGTTCCTTGGACTATATGATGGTCTGAGTCCACATCTACTCCTCTTCTCGACTTTGTATCCAGCAGGCTGCATCTTCACTTCCTTGAGCATCATTGAGATGAAGTCTTTCTGGTTAGTGGTGTGTCCGTCAGGCGAAATCCATGTTGCCTTGTGTATATCCTTGTGCTTGTAAATGCTGCCTCCGATTACCAAATCATTGAAAGTGCAGAAGTGAATAAAGAGTTCTCCATTTCCGTTCATTTTTTCGACAGCCTCCCGGTCTTTAGCTTATCCCTCCAAATTTCAGGTTGCTGATTTCATTTTCAGACTGAAGCGCTACTTACATTAACTGGTTCGTTCGCATGTTTCTACTATCACATAAAAACACTGAAGTTGAAACTAAGTCGAATGTTAAATGCCTTGGATTGTGTATTTCCTCTGATCTTTCCTGGTCTTGCCACATCATGTTAGTCTCCACAAAGATATTTCGTTTGACGTTTTACTTAAGGAAGCTAAGATAATCTGGCATCACTCAGTCTCGACTCCTACAGTTTGTTAGTTCTCGTATTCTACCTATTCTCCTCTATTGCACCCCCCCTCACTTTTTCTTGGGTTACTTAAGAAGGATTTTGTTACACTCCAAAGGGCACTGAAAGCTGTCGTCAGTAGGGCGAGTAGGGTATCGCTAAACCAACTTGTTAACACTGCAGTAGATAGAAACATGGAGTCATGCAAGAAATTAGTGAATCTTATCTCATCGAACTCTGAGTCTCCTCTTTACATACAACTCTCCTTCTTGCATCTCATCGGGTGGAACTAGAAGCAACTTGAGGAGACTTTATGCTCGGACGAGTAAATATAAAAACTCTACCACCATACCTTACTTGTGATGAGAAACGTGTAGGGAATAACATTACTAACTTAATGAGAAACACTAAGTAAACGGCGCTCCTTGTTCTTTCTTTCATTATTATATTGTCGGCAATATTTCCACTGGGATTTCAATTTTATATTCATATTCTTGACTAACAACATTATCAATGTAAATACCCTGTTTAATCATTACTTCTGTGCTAGGTAGTTAAAAAATTAAACACAGTACTGTATACATCCTGAGAATTGCATACTTGTATCATAAGTACTGATGGAAATAAAGCTCTTATAATTACTATTATCATGACGAAGTTAAAAAACAAACTGTAATATTAACTAAGTATCGCTGAATTATGATGATACGTTTTTTACTCAACCTTACCAATTCACTGAAGTACACAGTAAACACGTTGACAACAACTGGATTGTTGAACACAATAACACAATGAATTCATTATCAATAAACAAATCATTTTAGTCATATACTTCGGAATGAAAAAAACTTCATCGCCACAAATTATAGTTTTATAAATTGAAATTTTCACCCTGTATGAACAATTTATTTATAGAGATATTTTGGAAATTTCAGAATGCACGATTCACGTTTGTTGTAATTTTACCAACTGAACCAGGAAGACTTGAATATCCTGATAAAGTACTGCGAGGAGAAATCGAACTGCCAGAATTAATGAAACAACTTCAACAAACTCAAGTAACCTTAGGATTACCACGGTTTAAGCTGGATACATCACTTGATTTAGTTGGAACAATAAAATCAATGGGAGTGACTGATCTTTTTGATCCAAAACGAGCAGATTTAAGTGGTAAGTACACTATGTTAAATGTTGAAGTTTTCATGCTGTGTTGAGACATGTTTGTGGCATAGAAGTGATAGAGAAGATTTGTAGCTCAGGTGGATGATATTGGTTTAGCTGTGTCCTGTGAGCTGGATGCCTTAACTGCCAACGTTTCATTATCTTCCGGGATAACATTGCCACAGTCAACTTCAGTATGAAGTTGGCTTTTAGAATTCTGCATCACTGTGACAATCTTCTCTTCAGACGAATTTGAGGGTGACTGGCTCTCTTTTGATTATTTTGTAGAACCCATATTTAACATCTTTTCTGTGCGACTTCTTTTTCATCACCTTAAAATCTGATCTAGAGTTTTAGTGAGAAGTCCTGACCAGGAGAGTCCACCAAGTGGGGTGCGGAAACTCGCCAGTGATACCGACTGGTAGTTGTGCTATAAATCTAAAATTAACAGAAGTTAGAATCCATAGGCCATTGGATTCTGTCCTATTGCCTGAATGACAAACGACTCGCCTCGTAAGCTGAAGGTTCTAGGTCGACCCCTGGTGAATTCATGAATGCGTATCACTGGCGAATTATAAACAAGGATTAAACGGGTGTCCACTACTCCCTGGCTTCCAGTGATTCTGTAGTTGATGTCAGTGTGTGATCTATTTGAAATCTGATCTGTGTCGACGTAATAAAGAAACAAATAAGTTATCATACAGATCTCTTTTCGTGACTTCACTTCAAAGCTGTGCAGTTATTTCGGGGTTTACAAATATAATATTAATTGACAATAGAGTTCAGAGGTTATTGTGCATCAGTGATAACAATATTTCAAAAATTAAGGGTAATCTTACGAAATCAAGAAGGTTAACAACTAATTTTGATAGCATTACTAGAAGACGGAGATTATCTTCTAATAATGCTATCAAAATTTATAAAAGGGACTAACTATTTTAACAACTAATTAGCTAAGTGACGAATAATCATTCTGAAATAACTAATAAGAAACAAGAGATCAAAGGACTGAAAACAAGTTGTAAAACATCAAAATAATAAAATAAAAACTACTAATAAAACCATGGTAGTGAAAGAGGCTGGATAAAACGTTTCTGAACACAAAGTTCAGGTTCATGTAGACGAAATCCTTTGGAACGGCTTGATCGAAATTTATGCCCTAGTCTAAAAAACAAATGCCTGCTGATGCTGCATGATCAGAAGCAACAATGTACTTCAGAATCGACATGATGACTATTCTGTGTTTTCTTTTTAACCATCACGCTGGTTGGTATCCTGGTGGCACGACCTATGTCTGCGTGTCTGTTGGTTGCAGACTAGCCTGAGTACTAGGCTTCTAGGAATTCCCTAGCATTTTTTTTCCTTCAGGTTCCCCAGTGGAACATAGGGCTTCAAGCCAGTGGCTTGAAGTGTCTGTAGCAGTGTTTATTTTACAAGATGGGGTTGCTAGCCTCATGCCCAACCTTTCCTCTTCACCAACATTACTTCTGGCTTAGCGAGGTAAAGGAGTGCGTCCGTGGCCGGGGATCGAACCCCGGACCATGTGCATGGTCAGCGAGCATCCTAACCGCTATGCCACCGACGCACTTTACTTGAGTAAGATTTATACATTTTTATAGTCGAATCGGTATTCACAGTCGTCTGTACATATGATATATGGGGAACAGTTATCATGTCTTTTGATAGGTAGTTTATACTCGTGGATGCAAATACGAAAGACACTTTGACCAATATAGTATTTATAGTGTACTTATTCATGAATACGTTGTTGATAAGTAATCTCTAAAAAAAGTTTTTTTTTATTAAATTGACTAAACTCCACACAGAACGTCCAATTTTCAGCTTCTTTTAACGACTATTTCATGTTTCTTGTTTTATTTTAGGAATAACAAAGGCTAAGATTTCCGCAGATGTTCTTAAACAAAGTGCATCTATTAAAGTTAATGAAGAGGGTGTAGAAGCTGCAGCTGCAACCGTGTTAAGCATTTCATTGACAAGTGTAAGAAATCAAAAGCCTATTCCATTCAATGTCAATGAATCATTCGTTTGCTTTATTTACGATAAAGTATTAAACACACCATTATTTGCTGGTCGTGTGATTACACCAGTAGCATTGAAGGATTGAGAAATGAAAACAAAAAAATTCCTATCCAGTTCAAAAAAGCTGTCAGCATACTTCAGTGTAATTCTCTATGTAACTCTAGAAATATTACATGGTTAAAGTTGAAAAATATATCAAAACTCAAAGAATGGTTTGCACAACTCTGTTCATATTTTAGGACTGCCATGGCATATCTCATTCATTTTTTGTTGATAAAAATACAGTTGGTTACCCCCCCCCCACATTCATGCAGAAAGATCTGTTCAGTGTTTTTTTTAAATCCCTTTCATCTTCTGAAATTAACTAAATGCTGCCATATCAAAAAAAGATTTTCACTATCTATGCGTAAGTACTCGTGACTAAGCGGCTGAAAATGTAAATTTAAGCAATTTACTAGATTCATGAAGTGGAAGTTTTAATCAGCATATAGATAAAAAAACAAAGTTTATCCAGCTGTAAACTCATTCAAGCCTTTCTTGGTTTGCTGAATATGAGGCAGAGTATTAGCAAGATTGAATCTGATTGAATCGAGTGCAATGATCAAAATAACAGTATCTTTTAAGAGACAATTTGATTCCTTGAAACGAAGTGAAGATAGATTTCATCCTTATGGAATAATCAATACAAGACGGTTGAAAACATCTATTTGATATAAATTATAAAGATATAGGTCTGCAAGGAATATTCGTTTTCTAACTTTACTTCAAAGCTGTAGACCTAGATAGTGTTCTAAAAGGTCAGGGAAATCCCTATAATGGTCGACTGTTCATATCAGTTGGTAACAGAACATATGAAGTTATATCTCAGGAAAAATAACAAGTTTTATAATCTATGAACATTAAGTGATGAGTATCGCTCAGGAATGATAACCATTAAAATTACAAGCGGTTGGAAACAGGAATACTGTTTAAAAGGGTAAGAGATTCAGAATATTTTTATAAGGTATATTTTAAAGTTAGGAGTTTGAAAGGAAAGAATGAGGGAATAAGAAATAGTAAATTAATAAGGATTACACAACAAATAATAGTTGTACGAGTTAAGAAAAGGAAAAGTTTAAAGCCACAATAGTAAAAGGGACTGGATAAACCATTTCAGTCTACATTTTCTCCTACATATTTGTTGAGCTATCGGCTCTTGGTTGGTTGATTTTCCCCAGCCAGAGTTTCTTGTTGCTAATCCTTTCTGACCTGCCGACTGGCCATGTGATCTTCAGCATAGAGCCAGAGAAGACAGCTGTTGATAAAAGTGTGCAGTAGCTTGTTGAAATCCTTTTCGTGACATGCTGGCCAAGTTTCTCACACATACAGAAGCACTGGCTGATTTCACATTCGTGTTGGAGATCCAACACTTGTTCTTTAAGCTTCTGTGTGCAGAAGATTTCCAAACTGGTTTGAGGTTGATGAAGGTGTATCTTCCCTTTCCGATTCTGGCTATCTTTGACATGTTCATCCGTGCTGTCGCTTGGGGTTGAAACGTGCTTCCTGACCAGAAAAGTGAAGGAACTGACCTCTTTCAAGTTCCTCCCGTTGATAGTGACTGGTGCTGGCTGTTGTTGGAAATGGGTCGGGAATACATTGAGGAGACCGTCGAATGACATCGCACACAATGCAAGCCATCGATCGAGTTGAATCCCAATAGGAAGTGACCAGTGGGTCGTTAGTGCGAGGGTGACATGGAGGAGATCGTGTGGCGAGGAGGAGGTGAGAGACCATGGGCAATGGTGGACCCAGTTGAAGAGGACAGGAGAAAATAGAACAAAGTGGAAATGTGCTGTTGAAACCATATGTTCCACTGGGAACCCAAGGGAATAATAATAATTATCTAGATGATTCAAAGTTTTCCTTGTGTAAAGCAAGAGTTCTGCTGTAAACAGTTGTAGCCGGAAACCCTTTGAAAGATTTTCTTATTGATACAGAGTGATTTGAATATTCGTATAATTTATTCAGATCAAAAATAGTTAGAGCGAACAACTGTTTTCAATAAATTCTTCTTCAAACTCCACAACTATAAATACATTGATTTAAGCATACAACAGAGAGTAAAGGCAAATTAGAATCATACCAGAAATGTATTGTAGGACAAGTATATGATGGGATGCAACAATAGTCAGTTAGTTTTGAATAGGTATGACCAGAAAGAACATTAGATAAAATGAGATGAAATAAATTAATGATGTATATATAGACATCAAAGGTACAGGTTTCGTGGATGAGTGTAATCAGTGGTGTGTGAGACAATATGAACACCACAGAAAAATAAACCAAAGAATAGGATGGACTAGGCGTAAGTTCAAAGGTGAAAAGAACGACCATAATAATGATTGTTAAATAATAACACTGATGTGGTGGAAAATTAAAAGTACTGAATTTAGTAAAGTGAAATGAACGGGACTTTGTAAATATGATAACAAGTCAGAAAGCCATTACTTAAACCTAAGGTAATTGAAGTCGTAAAAGGTCAGAAATGAACGCTTGTCAATGAAACAAAGGAATAGAAGAGAGGAAAAATATTGCGATAGGAATTTAAAGTGCTAGCTTTTATGCAGGACTTGTTGGCTTTATTGTGGACCAAGGTAAAGACAGTGGTTAAACATACCTTTTCTTCATACAAAGATCCGGTCTTCTGGTATTCATTTCTACCGCTTCAGCTACTGATAGAAGACGTAGCCGAGCTCGTCTAGATAGATTACTAGGAACGTGGTAAATAACTGAGAACGCCTGCTCTGGTTTTATCAAGTGTCCAGTATCTACTAAGTGGGCCTACACTTCACTATTTACATATTTGGTTACCCCTTTACTCAACCATACAGGTACATGTCCACGTGTCCGCATGGATAAAGCCCTCTGAGTAAGGTCTATGTAACTAGCTCCACATGAGCAGTTGAATTCATAGATACACACTGATGAGAACATCTTTGGTAATTCATCCTTTATTCGTTACGTAATTACTTACTATTGTTCCATCTCATCATATACTTGTCCTACAATACATTTCTGGTATGATTCTAATTCGCCTTTACTCTCTGTTGTATGCTTAAATCAATGTATTTATAGTTGTGGAGTTTGAAGAAGAATTTATTGAAAACAATTGCTCGCTCTATTCTTGTTCCGATATGGAGTAAGATGTAAGAAGAGTTGTTCAAGAATTGTACCATTGGTTAGTCTAACTTTTCCTTCAGTCAACCATATTGCGCAATGTACTTGTGCGCTCCTTGTTTAATTACTGGAAAAAGGGAAGGTTGAGCATGTGACTAGCAACCTCATCCCGTAAAAACAACACCTGCATCAGTAGAATTCCAAAGCTTGAAGCCCTATGTCTCACGCAGGAGGCGAGGAAGGGAGAAAAATCAGACAGTTTTCAAATTACATATTTGACAGTAAAACAGAACACTTACTAATTACAGCAATAAAGTATAACAGTCAAGTGAACCTTAGCTCCATTTCGATGCATTCTTTACTGCGCTGTAAAAAACATACCAGATAGATTGAGGTATACTTCACAGCTGAAATCATACTGCGCAAATTCTGTATAGAACTACTTTTATAATTATAAGTGCAGAAAGTATTTTGGTGAAAAACTCGTCACAGTTCATAGATTGGTAATTACAGAACTGAGTAAGGAAAACCGAGTAGTCATTTCTGTTGACAACATGAACAAAATGGATGATAATGTGATTGATGAACAAAAATTTCGAGATGAAATGACATTAAACAGATGAACTAATAGGTTATTTCGTAAAACAGAAGAGGAAAAATAATGCCATTGTTATGGCATTAAACATAATACAGACAGGTACATATTCGATCATAGGAATCATCAGAAAGATGGTTACAGCGAAGAAAATTTTCTTTTCGACGAAGTCATCAACTAGGCTACACAATCCTGTATTTATAGTAGATGGGTGAGAAAATTTCAGAACTATTTCTAGTAAAAGGCTAAATCAAAAAATGAGTGTAATAAACACCTTGTTCTAAAATAAAGTAACAACGAGAATTCGCACAACTGACACTATTGAATGTAAATCAGTTGTAAACTTTAAAATAAACTATTTCCTTTTTCATACTTATGATATGAAATGTCATCACATACGTAAGCAACATTAGGAACCATCGAAACATAGATTTTAATTTCCAGATGGATTCTTAAAGTGGTACTTTTAGTTGAGTATTTCATAAAATTAGATGACAAGCTGGTGGGAGGGAAACTTGGTCACTAACCCAACCATACTGACAACAATCTCGATTTTATATGTGAAACATATTTCCGTTAATGAATGACATTTACCAATATGGACGTAAAATATTTTCGTATCTGCGTACATGTTTATACGAAACTTTCCTTCAAAGAAATATCAGTGGCCTCCAAATACGCTTGCAGAACCTTTAGCATTCTAGAATTACGTGTAAAAACAACTGAACATACATGGAAAATAAAAATTTTGTGGAAATAAATGTAAGTGAATTCATTTTCATTTAAATTCAATCGAAAAAAGATGATGAAAGACTACTCTGCAAATATAAGATAAAACTGAAAAAGACTCCCACCGCTAAAATGAATAATGCCGATATTAAACACTAAGTCATTAGCGCCGTTCAGTCGAAATCTTCACGGATATCATTCGTCAATATTGCACATATTTCGAAATAATAAAATAGATAAAAATTCACTCAAATTTAAGCTTGCGAAAACAAATTACCTACATGAATTATTCACAGTACCTCAAGATTCGATTACTCTTTCATTTATGCATTCAGCACGAAAGCTGATAGAACAGACAACTAACAAATCACAGTTAAACACAAATTACAATACAACTCCAAACCACTATTTCATCAACACCATGGATAAACAATCAATGGTCTAAGACACACAAACACACAGAAAGTTTACTCCAGTCCCAAACAATTCCTCAACAATCGAAAAACTAATCTCATCCAATCAAAATCCAATTTTCTCCTACACAAACTCAACACTTGCTATCTTTACTCACTTATAGTTACAACCCAAAGTATCACCAAATAAAGTAAGCCTGTTGTCAACAAAACAGACATGAACTGGAAACATCCATCTAGCTAGATAACTAGCCTCCTCCATCACAAATGATTGTGTGACCCACTGGATCACCAGATTGTATGTTGACAGTAAATACTCACCTTATGAAAGGTCAAACGTGTATAACTCTACAAAAGTTGATTGGCTTCTTAAGCAATAAATGTGGGTGTAGAGCAGAGTATGTGTCATTTCATCTCT